AAAAAAAAAAAAGGCAGTAATTGTCCAGTCTTCAGGAACAGGTGCTATAGAAGGGTATATTGCTTATCTTTGTATATAGTGTTTATCAGTGTTGTTTCACCCTTAATTCCCTTTAAAAAAAAGCTGTAGCCCTAAAGAACAGCTCTACTGTTCATTTGTTTTTTGTTAATTAATTTGAAAAGTTTCAAATTATTAGTTAAACCAACCTGAACATACTTTGCTGAATGTAGCTCATATCACTCTGATATCTACTAACCCAATTTTACACTGACTGCAGGTAAACAAGACTGACTAGCTGAAATCTGAATTTTTTAGAAGTTCTTCCTTCATTTGCAGTATTACCTTAAATATTATCCCTTTCCTTTCTGCCAAAACTCTGTAATAATCTAGCAGCAAAGTTTATATATCATTCTGTCCTTCTGCTAAATGTTACTGGACTTAATCGGGCAGTTGTTTGTGGCTTCCATCATACTGTCTTATCTCTAAAGTTTGCACTGGAGATTTGAAAAAAACAGATTAGATAAACTTGTTGGAGGTAGACTGCATATGCTTGATTGTGCCTCAACAGGGCCTTTTAGGGCTGCAGTTCTTTGATGTCTATAATGAGAAATTTGCTTGGGGGCAATTAAAAGTAACATTTTGGGGAATTACTGAAAAGCAAAAACTTGCAGAACCAGCTGGAGTAATAACATCAGCAGCTCAGTAGTTAAGTAGCATGACATATAGCCTAACTGCTGTTTTCTTTTGTGCATCCATTTAGACAACTAGGAGCTATTGAAGTGCCTGATACTCTTACAGCTACTGTACATACTCTGGAGGTTTTAGTCATTTTACATTTAATACTTTTACAATTCCTTTCTACACAGTACTTCCCAGGAACTCAGGAACCTCTTCAGTATCCTTGTCAGTATTCAGATGAAGGCCAAAGCAACTCAGCCACTAGTACAGGTATGCCAGGGTAAATAGAAGAAAAAGTGTTCCTTCCTTTTTAAGTTTAAAGGAAAATGACATAGGGTTAGTTTATAAAGCATAGACTTGTATTAACTTTGAACTGCAATGGGGAAAAGAGCTAATCTCCTTTCCAAAATACCAGACCTTTACTTAAGTCCTTTGCCTTGTTCAAAGGTCTCATACCAAATAACCGTACTAAAAGGTTGCCCCCTTAAGCTTTTGATCCATCCAAGTCCACTTCCCTGTCTCCACATTTGCAAAGAGGGTACACTTAAAGGTGCTTCAGTCCATAAAGGCATATTGTCTCCCTTTCTTCCAGAAGGTTATTTGGGTTCCAGCAGCTATCTCCCAGATTTTCTTTCTTATGACTAGATCTCTAGGGGATTACTAGGAAGGTCATAAATAGCTATTCAGTGCTGCATGTAGGATAGAATTCCATTTTGATGACAAAATTGGAAATGGTTCAGATGTACTAACATTGCGTCCTATAAAAGATTTAGTGTTTCCTCTCTCAAATTTATCTCCTGCACATAGTAACTTTATTTTGCATGTGAGCTAGTTAAGAATGTAAAAATTAACTGAAAATTTAATGGCAGAAATTCTTGAAAGCTAAGAGTACGTACTAAATTATCTCAATTCGCCAGACTGCGAAAAGCATGTTTAGCACAAGAATTTAAAATATATGTTAAACAAAAGTAGTTTTAAATGTCTGTCATTTTAAAAAATATCCAGTAGGATTCATTTTGAACTTCACATCTGATGATGAGCAAAACATGTTAATTCATAGTCTTAAATTGGGATTTTCCCCCATTTGACATGGGGAGGGAGGGGTGCCCCTACCTTACAATCCAGCACAAGGCAGTAGGACAAAGGAGGGGGGAAGGAGCTGGAACCAGAACTACCCCACCTCCACTGCCTCTGCATGCCCTGCCACTCCTTTCCCCTGCAGCCCCATCTATCCCACCCTTCTCTGCTGCTTCTCCCTCTCTCTCCCTTGTGCTGCTCTCCTCCTTACCTTTGCTCTGCACCGACAAGCTCCATCCCTGCTGCAATCTGGGGTACAGAGCACAGCTTAGCAGTGGTACAGAGCTGGCAGTGCTATTCCAGCCCCACTGCTGTGGGGTTGGCTAGAGCCATGCTGTGTACCCTGGGCTGCAGTAGGAACAAAGCCTGCTGGTGCAGAGCAAAGGTAAGGTGGGGCAGGTGGGGTGAGAGCAACTTTGAGCGAGGTTGGCGGGAGATAGGAGGAAGGTGTGAGGACCTGAGGCTGTGGGTGGCAGAAGCGGCATGGAGAGGGGGACATGGCAAAGAGAAATCTGCAAGCAGAGGCTTCAGGGCGTAGGGACAAGTGCAATGGGGGCAAGTGGTGGGGCCAGCAGCAGGGAGCAAGCTGCCTGCCACTCTCACTGCCTGCCTCACTACCTCCATACCACCTGCTCCCTACTGCCTCCCCCACTGTCTGTCCTACACCACCTGCCCCAGTACTGACCCTTCTCATCACTTTTCCCCACCCACCTGCAGTAGCGTGGGGGATGAGTTGAAGATGATCCTCCAATAATAAGATTGCATACATGGAAAATTATAATAAATTGATAAATTTTCTGTGTGTCAAATCTACTTACTAGGGGGTTGTCTTGTATTTGAGTAAATATGGTATTTAAGTGAATTATTGTGAGGTTGCAATTTTTTTCATCAAAATGTTAAAAAAGTTAATATAAAAAAGCAGGAAAT